TAGATAAGTATCTAAAAATAAATTCAATTCATTTACTATTTAATTGTATATTTCATTCTCACAAAATTAATTTTACTATTCGTTGGCTCTCTCTCTCTCTCTCTCTCTCTCTCTCAACTAAAAACATAATTTATTCTAAAAACCCAAATGAGAGTTAATTTGTGAAAAGAAATGAATTTTAAGATTAATCACAAATGACATCATAATTAGCAGAGAAAGTGAATTAAAAATTAAATTAAAAAATGCAAACAAAGAGAAAATCATTTCTTGGTCTCAAAACTTGACTTCTTATACACAATGGAGAAATAGACTTCAATTTCATGTAGTCTTGTGTGGTTTAGGAGCCACCACTCAAAATCATAATTCAAAATCAAAGTGTAGACACCATATGAAGACCTTGAGGTAGAGTAGAGTGAATAGGGTATGAGATCCAGGAGCCCGTATTAAGACAGATATACGTTTAGCACGCTTTTTATGTGTGTCTGTCTATAGAGGACCTGTTGTGTACTTCTCTACTCTCACTGTATTTTTACCCCAAAAAACACATCGAAATTGAAAAGCTTTTCATTTGTGTCTAACTTTTGGCTTTTGTGCAAAACTAACTGCAATTTCAAACACAGAGAGAGACAATAATAATAACTTCTAACATAAAAACTTCTTTCAAGAAATTAAGTCAAACGCATCTCAATGGCTGCCAAACCTTAAGACCTATTTTTTAATAAGATTTGACGGAATGCCAGTCCCACTGATCGAACGGCCCATTACTTACAAAATCTATAATTCTTTGTCCCCTCACTCTCACTAAAGTAGTGCTCAAACTTTATATAACTTTTTAACGTTATGTATACTTATATTGTTTTGTTTCCCATATCTATGTCCTTAAGCTATAAAAATAAATGCTTTGAAACGGAGAGTAAAAACCGTTTCTATAAGTCATGTGTGTGTGAAGAGTAGCCCCGATATTAGGAGCCCCTAGACCTACATTATTAGCCCCGGTATTAGTCAATAGCTAACTAACTCCTGATCTGCAAAGTGCTAAAATACTAACCGAAAAATATTTTTGGAGTTAATTATAGACGAGTTGTTTGCCGTTTTTGGGAAACCATTTCTCTCTCGCAAATACAGCATAACTGAAGTGAATTAACACAAAAACTAATGGATTTCGAGATATAAGTTAGTTTGGGAAGCAACGAGTTGTTGTCACATAAAATATATCATTTCTAATCGCTTTTGCATCAGTGGAAAAATGTTACACTTGTTTATACCATACAATGTCCGAAGTCAAGGACGTAAAAACTTATTACTAGCAGGTATCCAGGTCTTTGGACCGGGATTTCTATGCATTTTTCTCAAATGGGATGATAGCATGTAATGATTAATATGATATCAATTCAACACAAAAAATGTTTTTCTTCTTTTAATTCAAATAGTGATCAAAACATGAAAAATAAAACAGATTTTTTCATTTCATGTCCTTTTTAAAGGCATTGATAGTAGAAATACTAATAATTAATATGAACATGAGATTCAATGTTATAAAATAGGGATCAAATACATGTATAAAAACATTAATAATTATCGAAAACGACTTTCGTTAATATCTCGTGATTGTAATTATAATTAATGTCTTTTTAATTATCAGAAATAGGAAAAAATATAATTAAAAATAGTATGATTAAACTCTAAGATAAAACTTTTGTCGACATATTAGAAAAATTAGCTTTGAATTATTTCTAATCTAATTATAGTCGATAATATTTCGCTACACATTTTGACAAATGATAGCGAGAATTTTGAGCTGACTAATCAAAAATAAAAAATCCTAAAAACTAAAGTGTATATTTGTTATCAGGACACAATTTCTGGTTTATTGAGTACGACATTGATTTACTATAAAATAGTGTCGAAAATATCATTTTCTAATAGAAAAGAGATTTTCTTTAATTAGCCAATGATTTACAGAATCAGATCACAGGAGAAAAGCAAAAATAAAACACAAAAACACAAGAAAAAAGTTTTTGAAACTCTTTTTTCTCTCTCGCTGTAAGCCATTAGAGATAAAATTGTTTGATTTAAAGGCATATATAAAACAAAGTTATTTTTTTATTGTGTTGTTGTTTATGATTTTTGGAGACCCTTTGCAGAACTTTATTGGTTTTTATAATAATAATAATAGCAATGCTATCAACCCATTGATCTATAAAAAGGTCTTATTATTAGCAGTACTTTTCGCAATGATTTCATCTAAAATACAAATTCGTGATAAACATGAAACCGAAACAACACTATTTGGCTGTAAAATGCATCGACTTGTAAAAATTATTGTGTATTCACCACTTGTTATAAAACTCGATTCAATTTGCTTTTTTAAACAGTAATATTCACTTATAATCTGATTTTCCACTAAAAAACGTTAAACACATTTATCTCTCACTTTTATGGAAACGCTATTTTTATTACAAACGTTAATTTTGAAAAGTTTTTATTTTTAAAAAAGAGAGTGAATGGAGAGAGAGAGAGAGAGAGAGAGAGAGAGCACAGGTAACCAATTATTCTAATAGTTGTTTTCAACAACAAATCTCCCAAACGTTAAAATGAAAAAATGAGTAAAACTTTGTGTCGGTTTCACGAACTCAACGAAATGTACCATTTTTTCGCAATAAACTCTTAAGACCTTAAGATATATACAGTAACACCAAAAATAGGGGTCACTATTATATTTCAATACAATACACAAACAAAATAAAATTGCATTTTCAATGCAAAAGATTGCAAAGTGGGGATTTATGCTATTTTTGTCAGTTAAATTATATAATGTACTTAAAATACAATAAGTTTCATTCTAAAACGTACCCGTTGTAAAAACACCGATTAGAAAACTATTTAAACTACCTTTATATAAAAAATACGGATTTCTTATGTAATATATAATTTTTTATATAAAAACATCTCATTTTATTGTCAGCTTATTTTGAAAGAGATTTTTATGTAACTTTTGTTAAATCTGTTAAAACTTTTTACGTATGACTTTTCAATTAAATCAATTCATACAAATTTTTGACTGACAAGTGTTTTGTAATCGTACGTGAATTGTGCGATATTATTTTTATATCTTTATTGATATTACAAAATATAACTAATGTAATAAAATCTTCAATAAATAACCCATTTTTGCGTATAAAACCTTTTTTCATAGATTAATATAAAAAATCGTTTTTCTCATTGATATCGACTTTTTAAAACGCGATTAAATATTCAAATCTTTTAGAAATAAAAATTATGAATTAAATTTTGATAGCATTTCTGACGGCATTAGAAATAAATACAAAAAATAAAAGCTATTTCTATCAATAAAATAAAATCTTTTGATTAAGATTTATGTATAAAACCGAGTAACTGTAGTACAGGATTTTTGAATGTTTCACTAAATATACTATCATTTCCTATATATTGAATGAAAGGCTAAAAATAAATATCAATGATATTCACAACCGATGTTTAAAAATAAATACAAGGAATATACACTCGCTGTACAGTATATAAAAAGTCATATGAAAAGTCAGTGCTTAAAATATATACAAAAAACAAGATTTAATAATAGTATGTGTGTATGAAAATTGTCAATAATTTTGCTCACAAAAGGATTGGGCGATAATACAGTATAATTTTATACAATAGAAATGTATACACACATAGAAATTACAATAATTTTAAATTCAAATCACTTAAAATAAAAGTTCATCGCTAAACTGTTTTCTTTTCATATGATATTATTTTAATTCCCATTTGACATAGTCTAAATGAAATTAGGTGCGTTACATAATATATTAAAATATATATTGAATTACAATAAAAAGAAAAACAACAAACTTTTATAATTCATCAAAAGAAAGCGCCCAATGAATGACCAAAAAATAGGTGTAATTTCTTATTCAAATCATTGAATATATACAGAGCTCTCTCTCTCTCTCTCGCTCTCTCTCTCTCTCTCTCTCTCTCCATCATACCTATGCTCTCATACAATAATGATGTAATTATGAGCTTTTTATAAAAGCTATGTCTCAAAAGTTTTTTTGTTAAATATTCAACACATTGAACTGAAATTACTTTTTAAAGACGAGGAAAATTTTTTATTAAACATATCTTTAAATAAGTATTTATTCATTTCAGTGGACTCTCGCTGTTCACCAATAGAGCAAAAATTATTTGGAGTCCATAGGAGAGAGTGGTGTTAGAAAGGGAGGGAATATTATGACTATAATAATATGCAATCATTAAGGGATGGGGGGTTTGGGAGAGGTCTCACTTGAATAGGAAAAGTGAGTAAATTTTGAGCAAAAGTTTTGTCGTTGAAAAGTACAGATTTTAAAAAGTTTTTACGAGTTTCTCGTCTCCACTATTAGGCAATATTTTTGGGCTTAACTTTTTCGCCAAATAATTTCAATGACTAGACTTTCATTGACTTACTTAACAGAGTGTATTGTGTTTAACATTGTGGTACATTCTTGTGCGCAAAAATGTATGAATAAAATTGTTTTAACCACAGAAAAAAATTCATTAAACTCTTGTAATACTAAACTATTTAACTCTTAACTCAATTTCTCTGTTGAGTGCTATTCATCGCCAAAATGAGTGAAAAAAGTGTTGAATTGATTGAAGAATTGAAATGAAAATAAATAATACTTTTCTTGCCATCAATTATACAATGGAGTGAATAAAAGAAACAATATTTAATTAAACCTTTTTTTCATTACTCGACTTATGAAATAAATACCATTCAAATCGTTATAAATGAGAAAATAAATACATTTAATACTTGTAAAAAAAATTATATTTCAATAACCCTTAGACACAAGTATTGAGAAAATATCATTCAAATGGAGAATAAGTTGAATTCTATTGAAAAATGTTATCAAAAAGTTTTCAAAAGTAATCAAAAGCCGAGAAAATGTTGAATACAATTGTATAGAGGAATTGGTTTCTCATTAATCAAGACTTACTCTTAAACTCCTAGCGATTTGACGGATGAAATAAATGTCTAAGTCTTGCATTAAATTGCAATTATTATTAGCCGACAGTCGGTTGGACGACGAGTAGCCGCGAGATCTGCTCAACGACTTGGATGACAGCCGAAGAAGTGATCGCGACTTTGAATTGTGTCCACTATTTAGCGATTTGCCGTTATTTGCACCCATTGTCACAGCCAATGGAAAATGGAGCTAGGTAATAGTCAGTCTTATACACACAATCCGTACGATTAAACGTCAGATATTAATACACTTTCATTAACTGAAGGTATTTCACGCGTAGAAGTAATACATGAATTCAATATCGCTTATGAAATACAATATTATTATTATTCATACGATTACTGAATAATATTCACCACAAGAAGTCTTCACAACAAACAATAAATTAACGCAAAAAAGTGGTGAATATATCGAGAGAGACAGTGATTGCACTTAAATAAGCAAATAAAAAAGTTTTTCCGATATATTTATGGCCCGAAAGTAGTGCCAAAAACACAACGAAAACTACTTTTTAAAATACCAGTTGTTTTTGCGAGAAGTTTATCGAGCGCTCAGATGGTGTGTTCAGAATCTCCAGTTCCCCTCACTCTCTGTCAGTTATACTGACTCTAAGGCACAGGCAGTCAACTGGTTGTGCGCTGTCTTCCCAGTGAGAGGACGACCCACTCATACATACATGCGTTGAGGACTCAGACCTGTGCTCTCACTGAACGTAACGCTCAGTAAACCTGAGACTCAATACACCATAACATATGAACGCAAACTTAAGACCTCTCTCTCTCTCTCTCTCTCTCTCTCCCGTCCCTCTCATACACTGTCTAAAAGTGATTCCCGAAAATTATTTCCCATTTCTTATGTTGTGAGCCCTTTCCACGAACCCACTGTTCAGAGAGCACACAATGCCCGAGCACTGGTAGCACTGGTAGCACTCACAAGTCAGTATAACTGTCCCATTCATTCAACAGTTGGCTCCAAAATTTCCATCTCTTAGCCTCTAATATATTCTGTCCTTCAGTTTTGAAGTCAAACCGTTTTTTCTGGCGCACAGTTGTGGCCATTGATTGAAAGGTGACCCCAGAGTCAGGTCTGCGCACCGACTGGAAGGGCCCGGACTCTAATCAGTTGGTGATTAGCCTCTAATCAGTCGCTAATCTCGGCTCTCATTTTAATACGAATTGTGGAGTCAATGCTTAAGACAATAATTATTTCCATGAAATATGAATGCAATTACTGTATAATATTTGCGTTTATTTTTCATTACGAATAATCGCATCGTCTTAAAGAGTCAATAAAAATAATTGCATATAATTTGCTATCAATTTATTGTTATTTAATTCAAACATTTATTTCAATACAGGATGTGATGGGTATTACAGAGTGAAGGCCTGTCTGCAAGTGAATCCACAAGTGATGCCAAATGTTTTCAAGGGATTGTGTTATTCAATGGGTTGGCAGACAATGAATGACTCAATTGCTGTGACAGTTGTTTGCGATGCGAGTCCTGATCACAGCCTCTAATCCCTGGCTTTTAAACCCTTCGGAGAGGGAGAGGGAGGGGAGGAGAGGGACAGATAGAGAGGGTTCACACGGTTTACACGCTTTGGATCCGTAAAAATAAAACTACTCGAAGACATACTGTGTGTACAAAATAAAATACATATTGTATTGTAGTCTCACTTTATTTCTCTCCCTTCACTAAACCCTAACTCAAAAATGTGAAAATATTCTGTCGATTAAATCAAGTGTTAAGGAATGCAATGCATTATTCAGTGTTAATATAATACTATTCATCAAACAGTTTTGCGATCCCAATAATAGTGTATAGATTTTATTGATATATGATTTTGTGGCTATTTTTATATTAAGTTCATTATAACTATCATGTGTTGCACTAGACTTCCAGATAATAGTGTTGCAGACAATATTGCCATAAAATTTTCAATTATATTTAGAAATGCATTCATAATTCATGGGTTCCTCAATGTTTTGAACTCAATATTCAAGTCAACAGAAAATGTTATTTTGTCAGATTTTTGGCAAATATTTGGCGGTAGATATTGCGAAGAAATGTATATTTTTGAAGTTAACCTTTTTGTTGCTTAAAATTCAAGGATAAAAGACACTAAATTTGAAAAGTTATATTACTTTTGAAAACGAATATTTTACTAGATTATATAGTATATATCATAAATAAAAGTATTGGTAATAAAGTTAAATATTCACTTAAGTAAATGGAAAATCCCTAAACAAATAGATCTATAAATTAAATCCAATTTTAAATCGTATTAATGATTTGGTTTTGAAATCAAATAAATTTTTAGTATCTCAACGATTTGACAAAATTGCTTTTGACTTCATATCTACGAACTGAATATTAATGAAAGTTATCGACGATATTAGTTATCGTAATATTAAGTAAAACAGACGCAAACTATCACTCAACATAAACTTATCATGATAGATTCAATTAATTATTTGCAAAATTTCCATTGAACCCAGTGAAATTCAAAACTTTTCCCCACTCGACACTCGACTGTATACTAAGTTAGTCTCTCTCTCTCTCTCTCTCTCTCTCTCTCGCTATTGATAAACAAAAATTCAATTAAAATCTTAAATCCCATCAAAAGTAACGCAAAAATTTTCTCAAAAGAATAATATTTCCACAAAAAAGTTATGAACACAAGAGTGGGAGAAAAGTTTGGAAAAATTGATTTTCTTTCGACAGATGAACGAAAAATATGAGTTTTTGAACAAAAAACTAATTTATTTAAAAATACGAGAAAAAGGAAGTGATTAACACTTCTGTGAAAACTTAAGACCAAACTCCATGACAAATATACTGTCTATCGTTAGAGTCGGATAATCTTCGCTATAATTCCTGTTTTTCCACACATTTTCTCGGTTTCGAAACAAACAAAATAACTTTTGAGACAAAAATACTATTGAATGTTCATATATCATATGCAAAATAATTAAAAATGTCTAGAATTTTTTTTGTTGGAATTGAAACCAATTTTGTTTTGAAATTACTACCAAATTACTTAATCGTAATTATATTCAAACACGATATAAGTCAATAGACGTCTCTTATAAGTATAATGAATGAAAACAATGGATAAAACATTTTGGTTTTAATATATAGTTTATAAGATTTTTGTGACATTCAATACACAGGACGGCGAGAAATAAATTAAAGTTTTGTCATCACATGAAA